AATTACAATTGTAAAAAACATAAATTCTATAATATAAATAATCGACTTACTTTCTTCCTTGCTCGACGACTATAAAAGTCGTGACAGTGTTTACAGGCTTTGACCAAAGTCCCTTTAAATCTGCACGATTTTTTAGCATGCTTATTAAAGCAGAAAAAACAATCTTGTATCCATTCCGGAATTTCCCTCCACCTTCGGATGTACCATTTGAACTCGTCTACGCCAATCGGAGGATCCTTTACACGGTTTACGAAGTACTTTCTCGATTCCCTCCAGATTTGTTGAGTCCGCGTATTATTTGGAGCAACTAACCAGTTTCTCCACACCTTGCAGACTCGAGTTATTGAGTACAGATCTGATGGTGGTAAGTAAAAACAGATTTCCAAAAATACTTCACACGGAGCTTTCGTTGCGACTGGTACAGAACGTTTTGCCTCAATTAGTTTCTTCTTCCGCTGTTTCAATTTGGCTTTGTTTCGGTGATTTTTTAGAAATTCCTTCCTTATAACGGAAAGTTTTCTTGGTATTTTGCGAAGTTCTAATCAAACATAAATTAACTTTATATTATACGATAAAGAAAAAGACGGGTTAAAAAATTTTTTGATTCGAATAAATACCTTCCCTAATTTCCTCGCGTTCTTCATCGTCACCGTCGTCGTCGTTTGCATTAACGACGTCTTTCCGCACCTCTGATCGTTGGGATTGTTTCAAATCATTAGGACCATCGAGTTTTCTTGGTACCCGTGATCTACGAGGGACGGCTATTTTTCTAACAGCAACCTCATTGCGAGAGGATTTAAGAACAAATTCTGAAGTCTCAACCCTAAGCTCTCTCTGTGTCTGTACAAAAGATAGACGGCTATTAGCAGTTTTGAGGATGAACTCTGGTGCGTCAATTCTGAATGCACTTTGATGAGGAGGATATTGTTGTTTCGGATAGGCACTAACAGCTTGGGGAACGAATTCTTGTGCGTTGGACCTCAATGTATTTTGGTATGAAATTTGTTGTTGTTGTAGACGGTTACTAACACCTTTGAGGATGAACATTGATGCGTCAGCACCGAATAAACCTTGATACGATGGATCATAGATCATCTGGGCCTGAGGCCAACCAGGAGGATAATCAGAATATATTTGATTCATATCTTGTCGTTGAGCGTAATGGACAAGTTGTTCACTGTAACAGGGAAGGTATTGATTAATTGTGTAGAAATTCATCATCACTATGATTTTGCGTTTTATTTCAAAAGTAAAGAAATTGTGATTTTTAATGAGGTTTTATTGTATA